TTATGTCAAATTAATTGTCTTAATTGATCTTTAATTTTAAGGATATGTAGAGCTGGGAGCATTATGAGAGCAGGCTCTTAATGAAATTTGTTCAAGAGTGGTAGTGGGTTTGATTGGAGGCAGGAGAGAATAAGAGTGGGGGCCTGGGTTAGAGGTTATCATGGCAAAGTGTGTGGGCTTGATGTGAGACGCAAGAAGTGAAATAGTGATTAGAGATTGAACCTTGAGAAGCATAATGGAAGAGCAAATGACAGGACATAACTGACAGTTTCATAACTTATGTCAGGAGACACCACGATGTCTAATCTGGGTGTCTAAAGTGTTGACCACTGTCAGAAATGGAGGAGTGGAGAGGCTGGGCACAGTGGCTCACAGCTGTAATCCCAGCACTTTTGGCAGCCAAGATGGGAGGATCACTTAAGCCTAGGAGCTCAAGACCAGCCTGGGCAACATAGCGAGACCTCATCTCTATTGAGGGGAAAAAAGGAGTGGAGAAAAATCTCTGGTTTGTGAGGAAAGATGACAAGATTCATTTCAGACTTTGTGAGGCTTAAAGTGATGATGTGTTCACTTAGTACCTTTGGGCCCAGGAGCTGTGATTTGGGGCAAGTTTCCTAACTGTATCTCTGTTTCCCCATCTGTAAAATGGAGGCAATAATAGTGCATCCCCATGGGACAAGATGAGTTAACATGTAAAATACTTAGAACAGTGTCAAGATTATAGTCAAGGCTCAATAAGTGTTTGCACCTATTTCTGGAGAGTGTGTAGGAAGGTGGGGGCTCAGAAGGAGGGCAAAGTTGGTACAAGGTATTTTTAGGTAAGAGCCAGGCTTTCAAAAGGGACAAACAGTAGAAACAGGTAAGAACTGAGTGTGAAGGCCAAGGGGTACCACAGGGCACAAGACAGCAGGAATGGTCTGGAGTGAGAGGGTCGTGAAGGTTGGGATGGGGGTAGAACAGCTGGCTTCATTGGGCACTGTATGCCAGAGCTGTGTCACATGCTTAGATGTTCCCATTTCTCAAGATAACCCAGGGGGTGAGGCTGTCCCAGTCAGACAGGATTACAGATGAAGGCACCAGGGCACCACCAGATGCAGGGTCCAGGCCAGGTCCTAGCATTCAGTATCAGGGGCTAGAGGCTTCCAGAACCTTATCTCTGGTCCCTTGCAAGCAAATAAATGATCTCCTGTGTGCAGGCAGCACTGAGAGTGGCAGAGCCAGTGCCCAGACCCATTAGATAGTGTGTAACTGGGATGGAGGAGAGGAGAGATGAGGAGAACCAACAGTGCCAGGCATGGGCGGAAGAGGAGGGCATCTCTGAGCTGGCGCTTCATAGGGGAGGCAGGTGGGAAACCTGGGTGAGGAGCCCCACTGGGCAGGAGGAGGAGGGCCCTGTGAGAGCCGGAAGAGCTGAGAAGGTGGCTACAAGTCCAGAGATGGTGGGTGCCTCACTGGGGAGTGTGGGCTTCGTGCACAGGTGCTGGGAAGCCACTGTCACAGGGACAGGGAAGGTGGCTTGGAGCCTGGTTAGGAAAGGAAGGATTAATTAAGAAGCTTTTCTATTTTTCTGTAAATTTTAAGTTTAAAACAATTCCAAACTTAACAGAAAAGTTGCAAGAATAGTACAAATAACTCTCCTCTACCCTCCTCCCAGGTTTCCTGACTAATAACACTTTATCACATTAGCTTTATAACTTTCTCCTTGTGTTTATTACTGTATTATTCTTTTCTGAACTCTTTAGGAGTTAGTTGTAGGCCAGGTGCGGTTGTTCACACCTATAATCCTAACATGCTGGGGGACCAAGGGAGTGGATTGCCTGAGCTCAGAAGTTGGAGACCAGCCTGAGCAAGAGGGAGACCCTGTCTCTATTAAAAATAGAAAAATATCGCCAGGCATTATGGCAGGCACCTGTAGTCCCAGCTATTAAGGAGGTTGCAGCAAGAGGATCTCTTGAGCCCAAGAGTTTGAGGTTGCTGTGAGCTATGATGCCACAACACTCTACCCAGGGCAACAGAGTGAGACACTATCTCAAAAAAAAAAAAAAGTTAGTTGCAGATATTAGGCCACTTTACTTCTAAATTCTTCAGTGTGTATTTCCTAAGAACAAAGACATTCTATTATATAGCCCTCCCCAGTATTTAGGACTGGGATATTAACACAATACAGTTAATAAATTGTATTAATAAGTTAATATAATACAGATCTTATTCAGATTTTACCAGTGGTCCCAATAATGTCCTTCATCTTAAAAAAGAGAACAAGGAAAGAAGAAAAAAATTGGTCTAGAATCATGCCTTCCGTTTACTTGTCATGTCTGGTAGTATCTTTTAATAATCCAGGGACTAGATGTTTAAGATCTAGAAGAGGAATTGAAGGTAGAATAGAAAAGAAAGGTTAGGTTAGATGAGGTGCGATAATACAGTTCTTCAGGTGTGAAGAACTGAACAGACTTTTTTGAGCTGTATAACTGAATGAATTGCTTCTGGAAGAATTATTAGAATCCCCCAAGACAAGCGCCCTGGTAAAGCCTTCATTGACCTAATAGTTGTGAGTACCCAAAGCCTTGCTTTCAGATGAGGTAGCACACCTGGGGCCCAGTGCCCTCCGTGGCCCCCCACTCCATAGAACTGTGGTTTTTATCTGCCTCGCTGTGGGGCCTAGGTTTTCCTTTCTGATGAATTTGAAATTCTGACAAGTATCTGAGCACAATGGGAAATTTTCAAGGAGACTTTACTGGCACCCAAAGAAAATCCAAAACGTAATCTGTTTGGACTGGCTAAAAATATCAGGACAGATGAAATTGCTTGACATTCAGGGATTAGATACGCATGTTCAGTCATGAACAGAAGGCTGCATTTCTCAATCAGCTGGAAAAAACAACTGTGAAGGGGATGAGGCTGCTGGGAGGGACGGTCTGCCCCCAACCACATCTTTTTTCTTTGTTCTAAGAAAATGTGGAAGACTTGACACTAGATGTCAGTGATAGAAGATAGTTGATGGCTTGCCTAATGTAGATTTGTCCATTTTGTTTAAATAGGTTAAATAATGCACCTGTTGAGGGATATTCGGAGGATGTTGGAAATAAAACTACTATAAGGATGACCTACCCAGAGGGTGCACCACTGTCTGACCTGGAATATTATTCCAGTGACTTGTTTGTTGCTGTATTATTTAAGAGTGTTGACTTCAACTGGCTTCAAGCAATGTTAAAAAATGAAACCCTGGTAAGCACTAGAAATTCTTCTATCAAATGTACCTTAGTAAAAAGTGAAGAACTCTCTAGTTGTAATTACGGACAGTGGATTGCGTACCTTTAAGCTAACTTCCAGATGATAATCAGTGTCTTTGTAGAATCCCAATCCCTCAGAACTCCTTGCTGCAAACTGCTGTCAGAACCTGATTAGGAGTCACACCTGAAAATGGTGATCATTACTTAATGGAATAATCAAGATTGGCAGGCAGCAATATTGCTATTACTGAGGTTGACCACCCACCCTACTCTCCAGATGTGAACTTGCATGGCTTTTGGTTAGTTCTAGAATTTAAATTTATTTGGATGACACAAACCATTACTGAGGATATTCAAAAGAATATATATATAATTGCTAAGGAATATTTTCAAAAATGTTCTTTCGAAGTGCTTTGGTCAGCCAGGGGTTCCCCTGTTGAAATGAACTCACAGCATTCCAGCAGGGCAAACGTGGAGGAGGTGGCCCTCCTTCCGTCATATTCCTTTTATTCATCTTTACTATAATCACATTACTTTATAGTCCCACCTGTTGTACAAATTTCAGAAGTCAACTATCGAGGACTGTGTGCACAAACTAGCAGGACATAGAGGACTTTTCATATAAGTTCCATGGTGGAGAACTTGGGTGTTTTTTGTTTTGTTTTGTTTTTTGTTTTTCTGAGACAGAGCCTCAAGCTGTCACCCTGGGTAGAGTGCTGTGTCATCACAGCTCACAGCAGCCTCCAACTCCTTGGCTTAAGCAATTCTCTTGCTGCAGCCTCCCAAGTAGTTGGGACTACAGGCACCCACCACAACGCCCAGCTATTTTTTGGTTGTAGTTGTCATTGTTGTTTGGCAGGCCCTGCTGGATTCAAACCCACCAGCTCTGATGTATGTGGCTGGTGCCTTAGCTGCTTGAGCTACAGGCGCTGAGCCTATGGTGGAGAATTTGTATCTCCAAAGCTTGATTCTATATATAAGTCATCATGGTCTTTGGGATTTTCTGTTGGGTAGAAGTTCTAGTTGGAAGATGAAGCACATATAAAGTGACTCACAGTCAGTTGCCAAGAGACTTCATGAGCCTAGGAAATAAATGGAGAGAGGATGCAGGGTGAGGGCACCTTCCGATGGGGTGTTTCTGGTGCTTTCTACCCTTAAGTTGGACCTGTTTGCTTGGTCTTCCCTGGGCAAAATGATGGCTTAAGATACTAAAAACGCTTACCATTGAGGAATTTCTACCTCAAACAAATAAGAGCTGGCTCTACAGTTCTTTGTCCTTTGTAAGTTGGATCTTTTAGAGTTACTTTTTGAGTTGAGGTACTGAATTTGCATAGATTCCAGTGACTCTGCTGCAGAATGCCGTACTGAAGGGCCCACATCTCATCATACTCATGGCCTTGGCATGATTAGCCTTCTCTGATGACAAGAATGACTTTATTAAATACCCCAAATGATTACTTGCTTTCTTTCCTTTCCTTAGCCATTTTGGATGAGATTCTTCTTTTGGAAGCAGGTGGCAGAAAAGATCCCTCTACAGCCAAAACATTTCAGGATTTTGAATCCAGTTATTATCAAAGAAACCGCCTTTGACATCCTTCAGTACTCAGAGCCTCAGGCAAGGTTCTGGGGTCAAGATCAGGTATTTTTGTTGCTACTCAAAGTTAATTAAGCTCCTCTATGTTTGAGAAATGTGTACAAATTTCACTTGGTTTTATCTCCAGTGGAGAAACCCAGCCAGTCATTAGACATCCCATGTGAGTTGGCCACTCTGCAACTTGATTGCGGGGTTTCCTCATGGTTTAATTGGCTTTCTCTCTCACTCAGTGTAGTCAACACATTAACACCTGTGTCCCTGAGATACCATTAAATATTTAAGGTATTCTTACTCCAGGACTCCATATAACTGCAGGACCCTGAAAGGCACATTGGTAGTCTGAAAAGTTCTTTACATTTTAATTCTCTGGGCTGCTCAGGTGAGAATTGAGTTTTACACTTTACAGGTGATAGTAAATAAAAGTCAGCCCTCTAGAATAGTGCTTTTCAGTTAATGCCTTGGTCCCACCTCAGACATTCTGATTTAATTAGTTTCTACTTTGGGATTTTCCAAATTCCCTGGATAACCTTACTTTGCAGGCTAATTTAAAGTCCTGTGTACTCTAGGCCTGTGGTCCTAACCCCCAGTCCATGGCCTGTTAGGAACCAGACCGTACAGCAGGAAGTGAGCAGCAGGCAAGCAAGTGAAGCTTCATCTGTGTTTACAGCTGCTCTCCATTGCTTGAATCACCACCTGAGTCCTGCCTCCTGTTAATTAATCAGTGGTGGCATTAGATTCTCATAAGAGCATGAACCCACTGTAAACTTGAGGGATCTAAGTTGTGTGCTTCTTATGAGAACCTAATTCCCCCACACACACTAGTCTGTGGAAAAATTGTCTTCCATGAAATCCGTCCCTGATGCCAAAAAGGTTGGGAACCACTGTTCTAGGCTGTTGATTGCACTAGAGAAATCTTTTACCAGCAATTAGCTATGCTGCCACTGGGAGTGGATGGGTAGGCGTGCCTTTATTTCTTGAGGCTTCATGATCTGAACAATTCAGTCTATATCTTTAAAAATTCAAAGCCAGGAATGGATTAACAAGTATGGTATATGTATATCATGGAATACTATTCAGCCATTAAAAAAGATGGAGACTTTACATGTTTTGTATTAACCTGGATGGAGGTAGAACACATTCTTCTTAGTAAAGCATCCCAAGAATGGAGAAGCAAGAATCCTATGTATTCAATTCTGATATGAGGACAATTTATGACCTATTACACGGTGGGGGTAGGGGAAGGGGAGAGCAGAAAGAGGGAAGCGGGGTGAGTGGGGGGGGGTCATGGTATGTGACACACCTTTTGGGGGTGGGACACAATCATAAGAGAGTCTTCACCTGACAAATGGAATCAATATAACCTGATTCTGGTACCCTCAATGAATCCCCAGCAAAAAAAAATAATAATAAAAACAAAATAAAAATTTAAAGACCTGTGTGGAAATCTTAAGCAAAATTTGTCATGTATATGGCAGGGTAAACACTCCCAAAATACAAAGAGCGCTGATTAAATAGACAAAGATGAGCCAATAGAAAATGAGCAAAGGATATGAATAGACATTTCACAAAAGAAGAATTAAAATAATCTAAGAATATATGATAAAATATTCAGCTTTACCAGTATTTGAAAAAAAGTAAATTCAAGCCACAGTGACATTCTTGCCCTTTTTTTTAGCAAAGGCTTAAAGTTTTGATAATGTCCTTGTTTGGCAGGAATGTAGGCAGAA